ACCGGAGTTCAGAAAAAGAAGCAATCACATTGGTTTGGGGGGTGAGCCAAGCAACACAGTCTGCAAAGGCTTTGTAGGAAGTGATATTGAGCTGGAACTTGAAGGATGGGGAGCTTTACTACGCTCAGATGGGAGGTGGGTGTTCCAGATGCACCAGTTGGCTGGGCAGGGGCTAGCGATCCAGAGGGTGGGTGTGGCCGCTGTTCAAATGTGTGCAAAGGGGCGTGGAGCTAGTGGGTGAGCACAGATGGAAACTGAGCAGGATGGGAGTTAGAGGCCAGATAAGGAGCTCGAACTTCACTTGGCAGGAAACGGGGAATCGTCGAAGGCTTTTGAGCAGAGACGCGGCTGTGTAGTTAGGACAGATTGAAGAAGGGGGACAGAGTGAGGAGATGGCTGTTCCAGCTGTTTCCAGGTGAGAGAAGAGAGAGGTTCCTGAGACGATGAGACTGGGAGGCAAAGCAAGTGGAAAGGCGGCTCTGGGGCTGGAGGAAGGGGGACTCCATTACTGAAGAAGAAAGGGGGAGGAAGCCAAGGTGCAGAGGTGCAGATGGGCAGTGCCCAGGTCCCCGCAGGGGCTTCTGCAGAACTCAGAGGTGCATTTCCAGAGAGTCCACTTTAAACCGAGCACCCCTGGTCACCTTGTAGCAGAACCATTCGAAGCTGCCTCCTTCCTGCTCACCCTGCTTGCTTCTCCAGCCACGAAGGGGCCGGAAGCTGCAGCTAGGAGCTGGGGAAGTGGAGGAGGTTTAACTTAATGTAGGGTTAGAAGTTTCTATTATTAACTGGGATTATCACACTTTTGTTGACTTGAATGAGACTGTTTGCTACCGAAAGTGACTGAAGGACTTCCTGTTACTTTCCTAATGTGATCAGAAACGTTATGGGACCCACCTAAGTTTTCATGTAGGTGCAGGTTTAACAGGGAGACAGGAAAAGGTGTATTTTAGATTCATGCCGTGATTCCAACACATTTGACAACCATTTACACAGTTAGAGAACCCCTGGTGGGTAGTAAGCGTTCCCGTGTCACCTACACTTCCTCCCTTCCTCCTTCCCTGAGGACAGGTCCGAATGAATGCATGTACGCTCAAGTGCAAACAACAATGTACCGTCTCTGCAATGAGAATGTGCCAGGGTCAGAAAACTTAAGTTAAAGATATTGGTGTCTAATTCTCGAATGTCAGACATTGGCAAGGGGAGAGGGCATCCTCATTAGGGAGGTGGGAGGACACGGGGCCTCCAGAGCCATCAGCATGGAGAAGTGGGGAAGCCATTAAAGATCACAGCACCACATGCAGTGCACTTGGGACAACAAGAGACAGTTTAGGGTATGGCACACTCATTAACTTGTTACAAGGAGGCAACCTTTGCAACTTTGAGTAGGCAGACACTGAGGTCACCCAAGTTACATTTCAGACCCAAAAAGGGGAAAACAGAACAAAACCTGAGATCTACTCAGTATCCTTTATATGAGGGTTCCGACAGTTCCAAAGTATCCATCCTGGGAAAAGCTAAATGGAGCTAAATAAGCCAAAAGTCTAAATACCGGAAGTGGAACACACCCTCCTGACTAGGTCTGCCCCGGTTCACATTGTCTAGCTGTGCCCCTGACATTGCTGGTTTAACAACTGTACCAATATTTTTCTTATTCACATTCATTAATAAAGAGAAAGAGGAAAAACGTGGGCCTGTTTTATTCTCTGCCATCATTTAAATCATGTTGAATTGTGAATTTAAATTTTTCTGGAAACTTTTCTTATACACAATCTATCTTTTTCCAAAAAGTTCCCCCAGAATACATTCTTTGAGACTAAAATATACATATATATTTTTAGGGAGTATATATAAGTTAAAATCTATTATTTAGTTCCAGGGTTAATTTTATGCCTTCAATATGGATTGTGTTTATTTCCTTTTTTTCATTTCACTTTTTATTTGGAAATAATTTCAAACTTGCAGAAAAGTTGCAAAAATAAGATAGTACAAAGAACATACATGTATCCTTTACCCAGACTCACCTATTGTTAATACTGTATTCCATCTGCTCTGTCTAGACCATATTTTTTTTCTGAACTATGTGAGAGTCAGCTACATACGTCACAGCACTTTATTCCTGAGTACTTCAGTGTATGTATGAACAGGGACGTCCGACACAATTGCAGCACACATGATCAACGTCGGTAGATTTAACGGGATTCACTACTTTGATCTAATTTAACATGGCTCGTGTTTGTTGCTGATTGTGGTACCCTAGCACATTTTCAAGGCCTGATACAATGTAAGGTTGCTTTTTATATGACAATCAGAGTAGCAGAGATAATGTCATGTTTTATGACACATACTTTTTAATGATCTTCTGGAGTTTGAGTTCCTTGATTTAAATTAACCCTAGGTTGGTGTCTCGGTCAGAGGTTAAAGCAACAGACTTGCAGCAATTGCATTTTATACCAGCTCTTCACCAAATGCACCCCATTTATCATAACCGATGCACCTCTGAAAAGGTATCTGTGGCTACAGCCCCTGTACAGCACCGTGTTGCAGAGCCGAGGTGGAGCCCAAGACCAACGTTTTGGATCCTGAGTTCAATGCAGTATTAAAGGAGATTCCAGTTGTCACTTTATTTTGAATCTCTAAGGAGGGAATGGTCATTTCCTTACAAGACATTTGCTCTCGACATGTCTGAAGTTGAAACGTAAATTCTGTGCCAAACCGCGGGGCACAGAGGAGAGAGGCCCCCTGGAGAGGTGCCATCTTTTCAAATCTCCTCCTTTCTCGTCAACACTAGTAGATCTCTACACAGGAAAATATAAACTAAGTGCTATTTGCCAGATTATGGTGTCTCTAGTTTCTTAAACGTTTAACTGGAAGCTTTTTAGTACTTAAAATCATAAAATCAATTTTTTTAGAAAAATCTGGAAGCCCATTAAAGGGTATTAATTATGTCAGTATTTGCTTGAAAACACCCAAGGAAAAGCAGTGATTCCCTTTTACACACAGCAATATCAATTAGATTAAAAAGTTATTTCCAGGCTGGCTTAGTTGGTAGAGCATGGTCCTGATAACACCAAGGTCCAGGGTTCAATTCCTGTACCAGCCAGCTGCAAAAAAAAAAAAAAAAAAAAAGCTATTTCCATAATGTAAGTGAAAGTCTTCACACAGGGGCTCCCTGGCTGAACTTTTCCATATTTCTTTGGTCCACAGCAGGCTCTCTGTGCCCTCCTGCTCTCCTTGTCAAATGTGCTTTCCTGTGAGAATCTCTGAGGGTGTTCCAAAGCTCTAAGCGTCTGGGAGCTTGGGCGAGGTCACACTGATAAGGGAATGTCAATTAACATTTTTATGGTTTCCCATGAGTCCTGTGAAGAGACAGCACAGCCCGCAATCCAGATAAGTGTGACATTACATACTTTTTAGCTGTAGTTTTGTTTTGTTCTGTTTCTGCAGAGGAGCTGATATGGGAGAGGTGAAAGAGATGTTGGGAATGTCATAGATTTTTGTCTCTCTAAATCAGGTGGTTCTCCTGGAGACCACATGTCACACAGCTGGCAGGAAATCCCACCGCATCACGTCTGGGGCTGCTGCCCTACCCTCTTGCAGTTGTGGGAAAGTCTCTGCGTGTCCGCAGAGCAGAGAATTCAGAAAGGCCGTTAGTGCTCAGTTCACAGTGACTGCTCAGACAGTCACGTCTGTCTGGAGGCCTCTCGAAGGTCGAGGCCCTAACATCCCTGTCGCTGGTCTCAGCAAAGGGGTTATGCCCTGTGGCCCTTGAGGCCTGTACTCTTGCCAACAACATTCCCATCAGAGACCTGCACAGCAGTGGGGTGCTGGTCCCCAGGACAGCCAGGACCAAACCCCTTGCCCACCTCCTAGTCTTGAGCAGAGCTTCCCAACCCTTTCTCCTCCAGCTCCTCCTCTGTTTCATCTCAAGCATCTGGAAGAGTGTCTTCTGATCAGGTGGATGACCCACCAGCACTCTCCACCCCCACTGCTGTGACTCTGTGATCCCACAGTGTGCTCCTCAGTGCCCGTGATGTTATTTAATGTGGTGACGATAGACTGACCATGGTCACTGCAGAGCCCATCCTCCACTTAGCCAGTCTTCGAGCTCATTCTGCCTCTCACCGTCACTGTGGGGTCAAAGAGCCATGACAGCAAGCCAGGGTCTGATGCTAAAAACTGCCCCAGCTCCTGGACACCCGGATCTGGGGCTAAATGACGGCCGTTGGCTCCCAGGCTGCCTGGCGAAGACTGTCTGTCCCAAGGGCACCTCTCCCTGACTCATCTCAATCCCTGCCACATGTCAGCTTGTCACACTGATGGCAGAGAAGAGGTTTTCACAGAATTAAGAGTTGGGCCACGTTCGCCAATGGATAGCTTAAATGTGTTCTGGAAAAGCATGAGATTATTATATTCCAGCTGCTGAAATCCCTTTAATCCTCTTCAGAAACTGGCCTGCAAGTTCATTTCCACAGCTCATTAACCCCTTTTAGATAGATTACCTCCAAAATGTTGAAACACAGTTTCTTGCCTTTGAAAGTGGACATGCATTCCTCAGCGTCTTGTGCTGGCTGAAGGTCCCTGTGTTGTCTGACCCAGGCAGGAAAGGCCAGGTCTGATGAAGATCGGTCTAAATTGGTGTCTCCTTCTATTATGCAATTCAGGGGAGGGGTGAAGGGGTCCTACAGATTCATGAGCTGTGTTTACAGTGCAAAGGACACATGTATATTTATACAAGCTCTGTACATCCCAGATTGATTGTACGAGCAGTATCATTTTCATGTTTCTGCCAGCATCTTTCCTGTGGGAGCAGAGGCTATGGTGGCTGGGGAGGGAGGGTTAACTTGTCCACAGGAGAGAACCACAGACCTCCCCAAATGCAAATTCTCAGCATTGATTAATTTTTAATGGAAATCAATCTCACTCTTCCAAAGAAGCTTTTGGCTTCGTAGAAGATATAGACTGCTTACTGTTGGTTCCTAACGTGTATCTCCTTTCTCTTTCCCCCTCCCCTCCTGCCTTCCCAACCTGTTGGCAGCTGCCCGTATCTAGCAGTGAAAATCACCCCTGCTATCCCCGTGGTTGGTGGCATCCTGTTCTTCTTTGTGATGGGGACCCTGCTCCGCACCAGCTTCAGCGACCCCGGAGTCCTCCCACGAGCCACACCTGATGAAGCTGCTGACCTGGAAAGGCAAATAGGTAACACTGGAGGGCTGCCCTCAGCCTGTGATCACTTCCCACCATGCCCATGGTGTGGAAGGATGGCAGGAGGTGCAGGGCGCTGGCCAACCACCAGAGTAACCCGCGAAGGAAGGAGCTGTAAGTCTTCGTCTGCTTGGTGGGCAGGATGACCTGCATAGCAGGTGGGGTAGAAGGTGGTCGAGGTAAGGCTGGAGGGGCCGGCACGCCATGCCAGCAAGGCACCGCCAGTGAGTGTTTCCGGATGTTTCTTGGAAACCCAAGGGCCCAGTTCTGCTGTGATAAGGCGCCTCCGTCGTGAAGGGTCTGCAGTGGCTGGCCGCTGCTCTGCTGCTCCCTGTCACCGTCATCGCAGCTTAACTAGTTTCCATAAAGCCAGGGGAGGTTACGTCTTAGGCAGCTGTCTTATTTGTTCAGCCTACTTTATTTTATTTAGGCATACCAAAAATATATATTTGTGGCGTATATTGAGATTAATAGTTTCATTTTTCCTTACATAATGAAACCCTAGGCTAAAAAGTTTACAGTAATCCATTTTGAAGATATTAAAACAAATCCTAATCCCTCACAGAACAAACTTTTAAAGTCTTCCCATTAATTAAAAAGAGACCTTTTTCTTGCTCTTAAAGGTTCTCAAAAGCTTGCATTTGTGAATGTGTAGCTTTGCTGGGGTGTGCTGGTGAATCTACGGAGGCTGTAGTGACTCAGCGTGAACATGGAGTTTAGTCCTGAGACAGATCTTGGCAGAAATGTTTCTGTCCCAGTATCCCTCCTACTCCATGGGCTTCCCTTTGCAGCCTCCACTAGAGCTGGAGAGAGCCCCTTGTCTATGGTGTGGGCAAGTGCAGGTGTGGATGTTGCTAGACAGTGTCAACTCTGGTCTTACCATCCCCCAAGTGCTAGAGCACAGCCGTGTCCTTCTCTCAGCATCTGCCTTCATCCTTCGTCCCTGTCGCCTGGGAGGGGCGCAGTCAGGAGTCAACAGTGGGAGTGTATGGTGGCATCGCTACACCGCAGCCTTCTTGTGTCCTGAGGTAGGGGGGAAGGGGAGGAAGAAGCAGCAGTGGGGAGACGGCCTCTTTCTTAGCCATCACATCATGGAATTCCAAGACTGGGCATGCTAATCCATAATTTAAATAGAGACTTACATTGTACAGCACTTTCATTATTCTTAAAGCCCATCCATGGCTATCACTGCATTTTTTCACATCCAGGCAACCTCGTGAGGAAGACTGTGTTATTACACTCATTTTAAAATAAAGAAATTAAGCTCCAAAGAGGGGCTTAAATGGGGGAAGGTGAGAGGGCTGGAGCCTAGAACCTCGTCTCCAGGTCTCTGGCCTTGGCCTTTCCATCTCCTCATGCTGTTGGGGAGAGGGAGGGAGTCAGGCCCAGTTTCCTTCAAGGAATAGAACTGTGGAGTCTCTGCCCACCACACATCAGCACATAGCTTGAAACTCCACTACTCAGTGCAAGAGCCCAGCCCCCATGCAGTTGATACAGTTTCCTGCTGTGATCCCCACCTCTAGTTAGTGCAAGGAACATCTGCAAAGTCAGCGTGGTTGGGAACAGGTTTTCTGCCTTTCCTCCTGAGTGCGCGATAAACAGTGCCATTAGAATTCTCTGTCCTAAACGCAGGTTCTAAGATGCGGTCTCCTTTCATCCTTATTGATATTAAGGCAGTTGAGAGAGGGGAATTCACATATTTCTGTTGTTAAAGTTGATGACCTCAGAGCAGTATTTTTCAAAACAACTTAAATATGTTTTAAAACCAGCTGTGCCCCAGGGCCCCCAAAGGCATCGCTTCTGTGAGAGAACTGGATTAGAGAAAGGATGAAACAAAAACCTTATTTCCTGTAAAGGAGAGAAGAGGGGCTTAGAGGCAGGACTCTGGCATGGCAGACATGAGTAGCTTGGCAAATTCCTCCATGAAAGACAAAGGTAAAGCTGGACAGAATTGTCAGAAACAACCATTTCATGGTTCTAGAATTCGGCCGAATTGAGGAATAGTTGTTCATTCCTCAAGGACATCTGTGGCCTTCTTGCCTGGGGCCTCTCCCATCTCCAGCCTGAATTCCCAACGTGAGGAGGTTCCACCAGGACAGGGCAAGACTTGAAAACCTCCCTTGAAAACCTCAGAAATGGAAGGCTGGCCCAATTCGGAATGGAGCATAGAAAAAAAGACAATAACCAAGCTTCCATCTTCAGAAACCATTAAAAGAAGGGCAAACCAAACTCAAAGCGAGCAGGATGGAGGAAATAATAAAGTTTAGAAAGGAAATCAATGAAAAGAACACAAGAAAATAATAGAAAAAATCAATGTGACCAAAAGTTAGTTCTTTGAAAAGATCAACAAAATTGGCAAACCTTTAGCTATGCGGAGAGAGACAGAGAGATTATCAAAATCAGGAAGAGACATTTTTTTCAAAGAAGATATATGAATGACCAGTCAGCACATGTAAAGATGCTCAACATCCTTAGTCATTAGGGAAATGCAAATCAAAGCCACTATAAGGTGACACTTCACACCCCCTAGGGTGGCTATAATCAAAGAGACTGACGATGACAAATGTTGGTGAGGATGTGGAGAAGTTGGAACCCTCATACATTACTGGTGGGAATGTGAAATGGTGCACCCACTTCAGGAAACCCTTTATCAGAATTTTCCAATAAGTCACACATAGCTACTGTATGACTCAGCAATTTTACTCTTAGGTGTATATCCGAGGGATATGAAAACATATGTCCACAGGAAGAGTTGTACATGAATCTTCACGGCAGCTTTATACCTAGGAGACAAAACAGGAAACAACCCCAGTGTCCGAGAATGAATTGATGTGGTACATCCGCACAGTGGAATGCTATTACGAAACAAGCAAGGAGCAAAGCATTGATACATGCCACAACATGGGTGAACCTTTAAGACAGTAAGCTAAGTGAAAGCAGCCAGATGCAGAAGACTACATATTGTGTGATTCCATTTATAAAAAATGTCCAGTAAAGACAGATCTTTAGAGACAGAAAGTAGGTTAGTGACTTACTGGGGCTGCGGGGGGGGGGG